AAGCATAATCTACTTGCAATCTTGAGTTTTAAGTAATATTCATTAATAAACAGTACTATACCCATAAAAAATGATTTTTAATTTTTTTTGTCAAATATTTTTAATATAATATAAATATATTAATCATCAATATTGAATGCTTAATAATTTTTTAAGTTGTTTAAAAAAAATTATTTTTAGGTAATTATATGTACTATTCAAAACTTATAACAATTTACTAGATGTAAATATTGGGGGTAAAATGTGTAACTGTGTAGAAAATCAACCGATCTAATTGGAACCGACCGATTCAATTGGAATCGACTGACTATAATTGGATATCCAATTGTAATTAGATCGGATCAGATTGAAATTTCAACATCCAATTTGGATTAGTCGGTTTTCGGATGAATGTCCAAAACCGACCAAAACCGAACCGAACCGAATCGAACAACATCCAATTAATCATCTGATGACCATCCAATTATCCATCCAACTATCATCCAATTAATTAATTTTCAAACTGCATAAATCAGAATTCGTTTTATGTGAGCTTTTGAATTTTTAACTTATCTTGTGTTGGTTTTAATACATATTAAAAGTGATTAATTAATCTGTATTGTTGAAGAATTTGATTGAATTAACACACTAGATGAATCCAATCTCATCGGATCATCCATTCAGATATCCAATAAAAATATCTAATAGATGGAACTGAACCGATTCAGCCATCCATTGGATTGGATTGTATCAGTTATTCAATGTTAATTGGATTGGATTGTATTTGGGTAAAGTCGTCCCACCCATTTGCTAGCTGAGCAACACGTGTAACGTTATAATCTTTAAATATTTAATTGAATGGAATGAGATCACAACATACCGTTGAAGCTCGAAATCTGATATCAGGAATCTAATAGATGAGACATAAACGATGCATACAGTTAGGGGTGTTCATGGGTCGGGTTGATCCGGTTGAAGACATTTGAACAACCCAACCAAATGCTTGCAGTTTGAAAAATCTTAACCTAACTCAACCCAACCCAATCCAAACCGTATGAATTGGTCGGTTAATTAGTCGGGTTGGTCGGGTTGATACTTAGGTACATTAAAGTATTTCACCTAACATTGAATATATATTTTCTCTACTCATATTTTTTTTTCATCATCATTAACCATTTGATATAATTTATCCATATTTCTTAAATTTTACGTATATCACGTTTACATATATGTTCACAGTTACTGAACATATATATGAATGCGTTATATAGAGATGGAGAATAGATAAAAAATACGTGTATATGAAGAGGGTACATGATAATGTAATTGTCTACATATTAATATAAACTCAACAATCATATTAAATCCAAGAAGAAAAAGGTTATCTGGTTCATCGGGTTGGATTGAGTTCAAATAATAGTAACCCAATATCAACCAATACATACGGTTTGGAAATTTTACAACTCGATTAGACATCTTGTTGCTTCAGGTGGAATTATTTCGCATTGTGTTGGTTTGAGTTGATCGAGTTGGTCGGGTTTTTTAGCACCCCTACATATAGTATAAACTGGTTCAGCTAAACATGTTTACTCTATTTCCTCAAAACTCTTTCAATACGTATAATCTACTGATCAGAAACTGTCTATAACTGAGTTTTAATGTATCAACGTCCAAAATGTTCGGTTTATTCAAACTTTCACCAAAATGACAAAAACCTTTTGTGTTATCTTGTTTTTAAACTATCCCATATTTAAATGATTAAGTCCATAAACTATTTTCGAATAAAAAAACTATTAAACTTTCTAATTTTAAATGATTAAGTCCATGAACTACTTTTTTTAAATGAAAAAATCATTAAAATTTTCTCATTTTAAATGATTAAGTCTCTGAACATTTTTTTTTCCAATAAACTAAACTGTAACACACGATTTTCATTACTATTTTTTTTATTAACCTCGATATCCAACTCGTTTTGCGAGTCGACTAATTCCAGGGAGACTAAACATGCTTTGCGGGTAGCTCGAAAGTCACCGCATTTGAACCTCCATCGCCATAAAGGGATTTTTATTCCTCATCGGATTTGAACCTGAGACCTCCAGACACTTTTGAGTTTTGGAGCCTAAACGCAAACAAATTAGACACCACCCTTGTGGTTACTATCTTTTATTTTGAGTTCATCTATAAATGTAGTTTTTTTAGTGCTTAAATTAAGCTCGTTTGAATGTTTTTGGGCGTTTTAGTGTTAAGACATCAAAACTCATGGAAATGAACTGATAAGGATGGAAAAGTAGGCCAAACTAGTTCCAGAGCTAGTTTGTTCGCTAGTTTAACTCCTAAGTCTCTGAACATTTTTTCTGAACGAATAAATCCTTACATTTATAAAACAAATAAATTTATCATTTTCCATGTATCAACAAATCAGTAGAAAAATACAACAAATCGATAAATAAATAAAAACACTATTGTTATTAGCTTTTATTTATTTTTCAGATTTAAATGACAATCAAATGTATTTGTTATGATTATGTAATTGTCATTTTGATCCGAAAACTAAGGGACCGTTTACTAAATGCTTACTCGGGTAAGCGCTTACCACGTCACATTATCTCACACGGATGAATATGGTAAAGACCAAAAATCTTACCCGGTAAGAACGAGACAAAGAACAAGAGCCTTACCCCGGTAAGTGAGGGCGATGACTCTTACTACAGTAATCGCTTACCGGGTAAATTGTTACATGCGATGTTGTTTTGATGGACTAAAATCTTACCGGGTAAGTAAATTGTAGTGTTAAATCTTACCAGTAAACACTTACTGGGTAACTATTTAGTAAACGGCCGTTAAATAACTATTAATTTCTCTTATGATTCTCATCTTAATCTGAAAAATAAATAATAAATAATGAAATTAATATACGATACTTTTTATTGGTTTATTATACTTTGTTATTGAGTTAGATAAATCCATTGAAAAACGACGTATATTACTTTCATTTTGTAAGTTTACTGATTTGGTTTAAAAAATATTCAGTCAAAATACAGAATTTTTTTGAGTTTCTTCTGTTTAAAATAATTTAAAAATTTATTTGTTCGATTTCGAAAAGGTTAAGCAAAAAAAAATCTAGCAACATAATCCTAAAAAATGTGATAGCGTTTTTTTATTAACCTGAATATCCAAACCGCTATACGAGCAGACTAATTACAGGGTGACCACCTGTTTTAGGTAGACAAAAACAGGTCCGAGGGGGGGGGGGGGCAAATTGGTCTTGTGTTGAAACCGTAACAATCCAGACCAGTCTCGGTGTAACAGGTCCAGGTCCTGTCGAAAATACTATAGTCCGGTTAAGGGTACTTGTAATAGGTTACGGTAACCGGTCCCGGATCGGGCCCAAACCGGTTCTATATTAAAAAAATATTTTTTTTTTCATATATTTTTTTTAAATTTCTTTTTGGTAAATTCTAAAAAATACTCTAATGTCATTCTAATACACTTTAAAATATCTAATTAGGTCAATCAAATACACTTAAAAAATACGTTCATTGTAGTTTTATAATTGGTTTTCAACCAAATAACTTAAAAATTACGTTTTATTATAGCTTTATAGTTAATTTTCAATCAAATAGACTTAAAAATATGTTTTATCGTAAATTTGTAACTTGATTTTCAATCAAACACACTTAGAAAACTAGAAATACATAAAAATTACATTTTTTTTGAAAAAAAACCAGGCCGGTCTCGGGACAGGTTGGTCCCGGGCTCCCGGTCCTCCGCCAATACCGGGCCAAGCCCAGTTGACCTTCTGTTTACGAGTAGCTCAAAGTCAACGTATTTGAATTTTCGTGAATCAATCAAACACATGTTCGTTTTTTCTTATTCTTTTTCCTATAAAAACGATTTAATATTACCAAAATTCTGCTAAAAATTCCTGATTACATCATCATTTATATAGCATAGATGACACACAATTAACCCCTTTTGTGTCATTTTGTCAACAATTAACCCCTAAAACACACGTCTTCTTCGTCTGTCGATTAGTGTTTATACGTCCGGCACAGTTCACAACCACCGTCCGCCTTGCCGTCGGAACCTTCAGGCACAGTTCATTGTATCGCCACATCACAGGCAAGCGCATTCCATATCTATTATTGCTCACTATCATTATGATTTCAGATCTGCTTATTCATCCAATGCTTAAATTCTTGAATTAAGCAAACGAGGATTGAAACATGATAGAATAATTCTCATGTTTGTGAAGTAATTATGATCGTCAAAAAATCTGTTAGAGTTGTTTTCTGAGTGGAACTTACTAATTATTTCACTTATTGATTCATTACTTATTAAAATTTTGAAATAAAGCAAACGACGATTGAAACATGCTAGAATAATTCTTATATATGTGGAGTAATTATGATCGTCGAAGTATCTATTGAGTTGTTTTGTGAGTGGAACTTACTAATGATTTCTCTTACCATATTTGCAGCGATTTTTTGTTTTTATTCGGATTTTACGTTCCTGTAGTTAATAATTAGAAACTAAAGGTCCGTTGCGCGAGTTGTACTGTTAACGGTATTTGAAGCTTGAAAGTGTTTCAGTTAATCGTGGTTTTGATGTTTTCTTGGGCCCGTTGGTGACGTGGTGGGTGTGGAGAAATTTTTTCTACCTAAAAAGTTAAAAAATATAATCCTGAATCACCTGGATGGATTAAACGTACAAATTGGACAGGGTTGACCATAGTTCAGTACTGGATTGTTCAATAGTTAGAACTTAGAAGTATAAATTTGACCGGAATTTTATTATTGATTTATTCAGAGAAGAAAACTTACTTCACAACCATAAAGGGTTTCAATTGAATGGTATGTAAACCCTTCCGGCCTCCCCAAGTTGCTACTACTTTGGAAGGGGATGGCTGGAATTCCTTTTCCTTTTGCTTGTTATTGAAAAGATTTTATGAATGGGATTTGATCATATTACTTGGTTCAAAAAACATTTTTGGGTCTGTAATGGGTTCATATGACATGGTGTCAAACTTTTACATGTTTATACTATTTTTTTTTCAGTCATGATTTGGCAGCATTGGACCCAATTCCTAGTGCAGCTGTAACAACCCAGGCATTGGCAAACTGCATGATCAGTTTTTATGATGTTCAAATCCAAAATAAAATTGGTAGCACTTGGAGGTCTGGTTCTATCGTTTTTGTCATTGCTTGTACATATTTTTCTTGCAAATACCAGTGCAGAGCTAGTACAGTACAACGTGATGACGGGATTTGTGGAGGATTTAAATATAAAGGTTGTGGGAAAACAGGTAATGCTTGTACTTGGTCTTACGCTCTACATCTATATACTGCCAAACCATACCTATGGTATTCGTACATTGATAATTTTTTTGTTCTTTCTGGTTGCTGCAGGGTGCATCTAGAAAGTTGTGGAAGAAGGTTAAACCTTTAGAGGCTTTGCAGCCATATGCCAACCCTAGAAATAAATATCCTGGTAAATGAGTGCTCTTTCAAGTATCAAGTTTTGTGGTATGCTTACTAGAAGCTTTAGCAATAGTAGAGAGAGAAGTAAAAACCATATTTAGGAGACCCAGGCCCAATTCATTTTGGCAATTTCCTATTATTATTCTTTGGGTGCAGATGACCCCTTTTATATGAAATGAGAGAGTTAATCATGTGATAGCGGATTCCATGTACTTGATCTAAAGAAATGAGCATGATATTCATGAAATTGAGAATGGAGGAAGATGGTGTAATGATTTAAACATGATTTTTTCTTTAAAAGTTCTCTTCCTCCATTTTCATTTGTTTTGTTATCAACATTCACTTTGAAACATGAAACTCTAGTCTCAAATTATATCAGTACACATCTGAAAAATAGTTTGGAGTTCGGTTGTAGTAGATGTATACATCTCAAGATTATTCTATCAGTAATTCTGCTCATTGTTAGCATCAAGTGAAATCAGCCACATTCTTGCCTTCTATTCTAACTTTACTCGCATGTTCCAGTTCCTGTTGACCAAAATAATGGTTTCATACATGCCAAAATTTTTGGTGGATTCGAGAAAATTAGATCATCGGTATGCTCATTTTTATTTTTTTAAACTTCTCGTCTGTAATTAAACGTTGTCTATTACTGAAGGTTCATACGGATTTTGCCAATTTGCTAGATTTGTGATCTTGTTACCATATCCAGGCTTCTCAATGCTAGTCTGGTCATCCCAGAGCTTCAAGAAAGTGCAAATTCAAAAGGCATCGGGTATATTTGCAAGTCCTGCAACAAATAAAAAATGAAGAGCATTGTATTGTATCTTCTAATCCTTGGGATATTCATTATGGTTTCATGCAGCTCTGAATTTAAAAGCTTCTCATACCTTTACAATGAAGACCACTTCATAATCTCTCTTCGAAGTGATGTGATCATTGTAAAAGACCTGCCACCAAAGCTGAAGCTGGCAAGGAAACGTAAAGAATGTCCTATTTTTAAGCCTGAGAAGTCAGCTTCTCCTGAGTATTACATTAAAGAAGTCTTGCCAAAGTTAAAGAAGGGGAAGATCATTGGATTGGTGGTTGTCAATGGAGGCTGTCTACAGGTACCAGTCATATTTTCTTGCTTTGGCTAGTTCTACATAAACCATTATTATTTCTTCACGAAATATTTCGAAGTTAGAAACCTGTCTTTCCCCTAATATATATATATATATATATATATATTGATACGTGTTGTCAGTTCCAATGTATAAGAGCAAAACCTCAAAATGCTGTCATCCTTGTGTTGAATGACGCTGGAGACAGTGTGCTACTATCTTTTAACTTTATCCATGTGAAATGTATCCAAGATAGATTAATACATAGTTGATTACCATTTCTGGGAGGATTTGCTTACTTCAGTGGCATATGCTGCTTATTGGATGACGGCATCTCAAAAGATGATCTATTGATTGCAAACTTGATGATGATAACTTGAGGGTGAATTGTAATATTCGTCCTTGTATGATAGGATTGGTTCAAGTCTCACCTGTATATGCGCAGTACCAACCCGAATGATTTAGATTTAAGAATCTCAAAAATTTAAAATTTCTACTTCCAGATGATGATTAATGACACTAATTACCAGGAGTTGGAAGCCAGACTAGGGTATGTGTGATATATAGATGTGCACTGTGCACTTTTTGCATAGATTTTGGAGCAACTCCATCCAATTTTGAGGTTAATAGAAATAGGAAGTGATGGGTGGTCGAGAGTGTGGGGAGGGGGGAGTAGAAGGCTTGAATAGTATAGAACAGGGAATGTAAGTCTGACCTTTCTGTCTGCGTAGGATTTGGTAGAAGAAAAGTATAGAAACAGGGGGTGCGCAGGTCTGGGTGACAGCTACAGCCAGGTAGTTGAGAAATATAGTTTCCCTGTAACGAATTTTTCAAGGATAACATGAAACTTCAAATCTAACCATGGTCAAGATTTTTCTCTGCTTTTCATTTTCCTGTTCACAGAGGCTCAAGCATGCCAGTATAGCAAGATATTTTGCACACCAAAGAGTCAATAATATTATACTCTAATCATCTTAGGAGGTCCCACTCTTATTTATAATCTAGCCTCCTCTCTTATTCCTCTGTGCAGCTCAAACAATAACATTACCACCTGTTTTAAAATAGAGCCGACTTCTGATTTCGGGAATTTGAAACCAAAAACTTTGCAAATGTAAAAATTGACATGGATGCTTTTAGTTTGTTAGTACTAAATTCTCTTGACCATACTAAGTTGTTTTTGGTTAACATGATAATGTTTTTCTTTATCTATAAACAAAAACAAGGTTATTTTTTGAACACCCAAAACAACTTCTATTAGTTTCTAACATGAGATACTATAACCCATTTGACACTCAATAGTCAAATGTGGAGTCCATTTCCTTTTGGGGGGGGGGGGGGAGGTAATATAGAAGTATCTCCAAATATGGTTAGAATATATTTCCATGAATATACTTAGATTAGTATCCGAACCAGTTGCTAAGTTCTATACTGCTGCCAACTATACTTTAAATGGACCTAAATAAAATGTCAGTTCATTAGAAAGGATGGGCTGTAAAAGCCTTTCAAACTGTTCCAATAATATAGATATGTCTTGCAGTTATATCCTACCATACAATATTTATTTATAAGATGATTTTGTCTGTGTGTAGCATTTGGTTCCTTGAAGAATGCAAGGCATCTTTAGTTCTTTGATAAAAAAATCGTCTCATAATCCTTGCTGTTTGTTTCTATATTGAACAACATTAAAGTAAGTCCTGGTGCATGTGTTCTTATCAGCCTATCCTCCCACCTAAGTTGGTTGAATATCAGAGGCTCAGATGTAGGGTGGCATTTCACGCGCTTCATTTCCGTTCAGAAATTTTAGCATTGGCACATCAAATGTTGAAAAGGTTAGTAATTTTTTATTTCTGAACTCTGTTCAGTCATTTATAGATCTAAATACCAATGCAGCATAGTCCTAAAGTTGTTCCCTTGAAGAGAAATATTCAGAAAGTTAATACATACAGTTACCCTCTGCACCTCTGAGATGATTTAGTATACCACCAAATGCAGCTGTTTTATATCTGCATTGACATTGTATAGATTAACCGACTTCCTGACTTTTTAGTGAGAATGTGAAATATTAACACCTATATCATCTTTTTGATGATTTATGGTAGACCATTCCATGCAAGATACAGAAATAAGATGTTCTTATGGACCATATTTGTACTGATTTTCCTTTTTTTCCTTCTACCTATTGAGGGAGGGCCAATGGAGACCCCAATCTCCATGCATGTAGTTGGGAATACTTTGCCTTCAAGTGGGAGACTTTGCTTTCAATATACTCCCTCCATCCCAAAATAAATGTCCACAATGAAAAATGCACAGTTTTAGAAATGTGTAATTATTACACTTTTTAATTAACTAAATGACTATTTTACCCTTAATAATGAATTTCTCCATCTCATAATTAAGAGTGGAATTGGAAAGCATGCACTTACTTTTGAACCTGGATACGTATTTTGGTACAAACTAAACTAGAAATATGGACACTTATTTTAGAAGGAGGAAGTATCTCCTTTCCCTCTTTTCCTGATGTCAAGGAGAAGCAATCGTCATCGCCCACTTGGAAGCACTAAACTTTTGATACTTTTTAATCACACATCAGTAATTGAACTAAACATCTTTCTTGCACAGGTTACGAGCTTCAGGGCAACCTTATCTTGCATATCATCCTGGCCTTGTAAGAGATACTTTAGCTTATCAAGGTTGTGCGGAGCTTTTCCAGGTTAGCAAAGTTGGAACTTTATATTTCTCATGCTACTTGCTAGGTGAAGCATTGATAAATATGGCCATACCTAGGATTTAGTTTTCTACCTCCTCCTGACCCTTCTCTATATACCAGATGAACTACCATACAAACATCTCTGGTTGCTACTTTAACTTGTTTTTCAAATCTTAACACTACCTTTCTTGTTTTCAAGTTCTTCTTTTTCAAATGTTATTCTTATGTTCTTTTTCTGCAATTTTTTTGGAAGAATCTTCATGGAAACAACCACTCTACTCTTTAGGGTGGAGGTCAGGTCTGCGTACATCTTTCCTCCTTGCACCGCACCTTCGGGTGGGATATACTGGGTTTGTTTGGTTTATATTCATGCTGATCTCAGATTCGATAAGAAATTTGTAGAGTATACGAAAGAAGCCTTGGTGTAGTTCTGAAGTAGTAACAAGGAATAAGCTATATATAGGATTTAACATATAGAATAAAAGCACATACCTGTAAAAGGTTAGCAACACAAATTAAGTTCGGTTTTGTTTATTCCCTATTTTTTTGGTAGCAGAATAAGAGAATGAAGCATGCAGCATATGCCAATGTTATGATTTCAAGTTGCAATGTTATCCAGCCATCAGAGTATATGCATATAATTTAACGAGTTCTATGAACATCTTCATTTGCATATCTGACTTTTGCCTATATTTTTGCAGGATGTCCATACTGAACTTGTTCAGTACCGAAGGGCACAATTGATAAAACAGAAACTTGTTAATGATGAACTAACCATTGATTCCTTTATTCGGAAAGCAAATGGCTTGTGTCCACTCATGCCTGAAGAGGTATATGGATTCATATTCAAAGTTAAATTGAAGGAAACACTACAATGAAATCAAGTTTGTAGGACATCAAAAAAGTACAAGTGAATAGACTGTTTTACAGGACCAAACACTTGTGCGTCCTATGTAAAAGTGTTGCAATACGTTTATAAGACGATTTTGAGCGTCTTAACAAGTTTTTAGGACAATTTTGAAATAAAACGTGCTATTAATTTGAACAAGTATTTGGTCTATAAAATGAAGTCTTATAATGGGGTAGTTTATTAGGACACTTGGACATTTTTTGGGTCCTATAAATCCGATTTGTTGTAGTGAAAACAAGCCTCTTATTCCAAACTAGATAGGATAGGTCATACATTAAACCCAAAAAGGTTGATTGGTATCTATTCATATATCTTTATGCACCATTAAATTCACAGGTAGGACTCCTTCTACGGGCCATGGGTTATCCACCGACAACGCGAATCTACCTGGCAGGTTCTGAAAGATTTGGTGGTCAACGTGTAATGATCCCACTACGTGCCATGTATACCAACTTAGTGGACCGCTCTAATTTATGCAATAAGTACGAGCTAAACAAATTATTTGGCACTGAAAGGCCACTTTCTTCAAATCCTTTCAACCAAACTCGTAATATAACTGCTGAGGAGATGAAGAAAGAATGGGATCAGGCTGGCCCTCGTCCTCGTCCTTTGCCTCCACCTCCGGGCCGACCCATTTATCGACATGAAAAAGAAGGATGGTATGGTTGGATTACAGAGAAAGATTCAGAGCCAGATCCTTCACCAATTGATTTGAGGGAAAAAGCTCACAGGTTGTTGTGGGATGCCCTTGATTATGTTGTATCAGTTGAAGCAGATGCATTCTTCCCAGGGTTTAACAATGATGGTACGGGATGGCCAGATTTTTCAAGCTTGGTCATGGGACATCGGTTCTATGAGATGGCATCTTCCCCAACTTATCGACCCGACAGGTGAATAAATATATTTCTTGATGCTTTTACTCGGTTTTTGTAGTAAAAAACACCTTTAGACTTTAAGCAACTATACAAAGTAGTCTTCAACATTACTTTCAGCAGGCATTTACTGTGACATATTTAGAAAATATGGTCCATTTGGATCAAAAGAAGATACAATTGTTTAAGATGGTGAATTATGTTTCATGAACATTCATGGTGTAAACGTCCCATGTTTTTAGTACCATAAAAGTAGATAAAAAGATCCACAATGGAGTAAAATAAAAGATTGTATACCACTAAATTTGTGACCTTACCAAAGGGCTTTTGGCCTAGCGGTGTCCTAGCCTTTGGCCTCGCGGTGTCCTAGCCTTTGGCCTCCTAGGAGTTCAGGGGTTCAAACCTCACCAAAGATGAGAAGGGTGTGTGAGTTTATTTGTTTCATTTGCGTATAAATATTATATACTTCAAAAAAATTGTGACCTTGTGTACATTTTTACTGTACATCAGTCTTAGTTTTCTTTTTGTCCTACTAGTTGTGAGTGCCGAGCAATGTGCTTTCTTGTTTGTTGATTAACTTATTTCCGACACGTGTTCTTGCTGCCTTCTCTGTTTATTGTGCTTATTTGTTTGCACACCCTGCTACTTTTCTCACCGGTAGCTTGGTCGTTTGTTTCCTTCTAATTTTTGAATTGTACGCTAGGGTCTTCATGGGAACAACCTATCTACCCCTTGGGGTAGAGAAAAGCTTTGCGTACATCTCCCCCAACCCTCCCACTGCATGAGGTTCGTTTGGTTTGGTTTGGTTTACCACTAAATTTGATGAAATTTGGTGTGGTTAACTACTTTGGAATGCTATTTCCATTTCTATGGTTAGATTTAATTAAGTTATCCATATATTGTCGAGTTTTATGCTTACAAGAGGGACAATCTTCCTTCTTTGAATGTAACGATAAAAATCGTAGCAACTACTAGAATTGTAGGCAAATTACTKAACCAAACCAAACCAAACGAGCCTGGCAGATCCCACCCAGAGTTGGGGTAAGATATACAGACCTGATTACTTACAGTTTCATGATGTTGGTAGAGTCATCAATGAAAGCATGATGCACACGGATTATTTGAGAAAATAACCTTCTGACAGATTTCAAAACGCCTTTGCCTAACAGAAGAATGCCTCAAAATCTGTCAGAAGGTCATGCATTTAAAAAAATTTGTCAGAAGGTTATTCTCCTAGTTAACCTTGATGCACACAGTGTAGTCTTTGTGTGCATTTTCCTAGCATAACTTTCGCTCGCTCTAATCCATTGTTTCCTAATTTTCTAGTTCCTTACAGTTGCTTATCAAAATGGTATATTCTGCGCAGGAAATTTCTTGCGAATCTGTTTAACACCACCAGACACAATCTTTATTTTCCAACGCGAAACTGGACCCTTGCTGCACGCCAACATTTAAACAACAGTCTTGGTGAGGAGGGACTCAACAGACACTTTCTTGAATCGAAACCAATCTCATTCCTTTCTCATCCAATACCCGAATGCATTTGTACCATCTCTCAATCAATTGGCGACAACGAGTGCCCCAAATGGCTGAAAGATAGTTCCTTTAGATCCAAGACACAAGAGACTAACGAGAATGAAGAAACCGATGATGAAACGGATGAAGGGCAATTAGGTAATTCACAAGATGAAGGCAGATCAAAAAGTTCAGTTTTTGAACGAGATTCGGAAATGGATCCGAACGACTAGAGACTAACGTGGATATATACAGGTTTTTATTCTTATCTCTCATTACTTACATGATATTCTTTCGACATAGAGGCTAATAAAAGAGGACCCGAGGTCATAAGAATACACGTGCGAATGTGTTTGTCAAATATTACGAACCACATCGTGACGTGAACGGGATAGAAACAGAAAAGGAAAAACTTCATATATTTGATTTTTATAGCTTCCTTTATTTCTATAGAGTTGTCTGTATAATCTTTGAAGGCTTTGATTTGAGGTCATAAGAAATAGAAACAATTTTGTCCATGTATGCATTTATGTTGGCACAAACTTCCTTTATTTCTGCTCCTTGGCCCGAACCAAGGCCGGGCTTAACCTATTATTTGCGGAAAAAATGTTTTAGAGCTGATCATTTGCGGGCTTGGGCTAACCAGGGACGGGCTTAACCTATTATTTTGTCCAATGGGCCTAATATGGTAAAAACCAAGCCCGGTTTTACGGGCTTGAAAACTTATCCATACCTGTCTTATAAACGGGCCGGACTTGTCCACGGGCTAACAGACTTAAAAATCTTGTTATATGTTAATGAAAACAAAACTTATATAAAATCATAAATTATGTAAAACAATTCAAAGGTACATGACAATTTTTCCAACTTAAAATTTGACGTAAATACATAATAATATACATACTTTAGAAAGAGATTGTCTCGTTAGTATCAATAAAGATAATAAGGAATTGATCAATTGAGGTAATTATATTTTCAAATTTAAGATTTTTAAAGAATGTTGTTATCATGAGTCATACTTAAGTAGGAATTGATAAGTATTAAGAATTTTTTATTTATTTGTAAATTTTAATTATAAAAGTTAATTATTATAAAAATATTAATGGGCCTGCTCAATTTTTTTTCCCATTGGCCATGTCCGTCCATTAATTTTAACAAGTCAGTTCAGATCCGCCTATTTATTCGAGAATGGTAATCCAAGCCTGTTTTTCTAGCAGGCCGGACATGATAGTTTTAGCGCGTCATCCAACCATGAACAACTCTAATATGTTTCACATAGAAATACAAACATACACATAAAACAATATGAATTATAGTTTAAAATCAAAATCATTATATAATGATTTGGATTATGTAACAAAGTTTAAAATCAAAATCATTATATAATGATTTGGATTATGTAACAAAGTTTATCTTAGTTTCTGTTTGATCAATGATTTCCTGCGTTTTGGTTTTTGCTACGTCAATGTCGTATCATGCACTTAATTTAACATTCCGCTTTGATACTAAACAACTTGCTGATTTCAAATGCGAAATATCCTTAATGGGTAACTAAACCAAAGGATCCGAGTCCAAAATCCAAAATTCGAGATTTGATTTCAAACATTCCAACGAATTTGAGGAAAGCTCGAAATGAGTGTTAATGTATTCAAAACACTTCAAATGAGAATTAGAGTGCGTTTAGTACACTAGACAGAGACAAGATAAAACATGACAGAGATCCCTGTCCCATGTTTGGCATGAATTTTATGTGGAACAGACAAGAACATAGTAAAACAAAGTGGAACAGACCTGTTCCACCCCTACCCCATGGAACAGGGTGGAACAAGGTGTAATAGACTTATGTTTTACCAATATAACCTCAAAATAAAACTTAATTCTCTTTTAAAACATCAAATAGGTCTCTCTTTTAACTTTTATTCATTCTTTAAATTTTATTTATTGCATTTTATGTTTTTGCAACTTTCATTTTACTGTCATCAAAATATTATTTTTATGTGGATTCTATATTTTTATTAATTTATGTAATTTATTATATATTAATTAAAAAAAATAATGTAGAAAAGAGATAAAAATAAAAATAGAAAACCACATAAACTTTTTATTTGGTGTCATTTTAATTGTTTTGACGAAACTTCAAATGATATATTTTGTTGTAAAAAATAATTATTCTATTATAATTTAATGAATTACATAAATTATTTTCTTGATTTTATCACCGTCAAACGTATTGCGTAAGGTTCACGCATGCAATTTATTGTTTTCGATGAGTTTTGTATGTTTTCCCTTGATCAGAGTAGTAAATATTCGATTTTGATCTTACACGAGTGATTGTATAGGTTATATGTGAATTCTTTTGTTTTCTGGAATCCAAGTTTTGTGAATGTGATGATACTATATGAGATCACTAGCCAAATTGTTTTTTTGATGCTTATATTTTATTTACTATTTGATTTTTAATCCATTTTAATTGATTGTGCGCTTGTTGGTAGTAGTTTTTCTTCTTAGTATGTAATGCATATAGATTTTCTTCGATAATGGATTCTTGATGCTTATATTATATTTACCTTTTTCATTTATCATTAGTTGATTATGAAATCATGTATTTTTGCAAATGTATTTTTGCAAGTAGTAGTGGTTTGATGTAAGTTAWACTTTGCACACCGTATTTGTTAACATTTATATTGATTATTTAATGAAAAAAACACTAAACAACTCATTGGGGGTAAATTGGTCATTTTAACCAGTTCTGTCCAGTCCTGTCATATCTTACCAAACCTGACCAGCTGTCCTGTCCTGTTCTGTCTTGTTCTGTCCTGTCCTGTCTGCATACCAAACGCATCCTTAGTGACTCCAAACAAGTATAAAAAAACCCAAGGGCCTTTGGCCTAGCGGTATGTGAGTCTTTGGCCTCCTAACATGTCAGCGGTTCAAACCTCACTAAATGTGAGGAGGGTGTGTGAGTTTATTTGTTCTATCTGCCATATATAAATACTATATATACTTCAAAAAAAAAAACAAGTATCAACAAAACATTCCAAATGAGAAACAGTGTCTTCATAACGAGTGTTGATGCTGTAAAAAACACTCCAATAAGTGTTAACTTCTCGAAAACATTGCAAGAGATTAGAGAACTGAAGTCATGTGAAAGGGAAACTTTATTCAAGATACAACTTGTTTGGTTCGAATCACATGGTCCTCAACGATAAAATTACAAACGTTAATTGAAAATAATGACAAATGACGAATGTAGAGGTAAAGAATCAGAGTTATGATGCGAACTTTCAAAGCTAATGCTAACACTTTCTATGTATTTTTCTCTTTAAAATTCTTGATAATTGACTATAACACAAGGGTTGTATTTATATAGCAATCCAAAGGAATCTTAACGTTATCTGAATGCTAAAATCAAGGATTTTTAGGTCAAAAGTACCAGGAGGTTCAAGGTTTAAATCCAAGGAGGAATAAAAATCCCTTTGTGGCCACGGAGGTTCAAATGTGGTGACTCCGGGCTATCTGCAAAGCAGATGGTCACCCTGAGATTAGTCGGCTCGCATAGGGGGTTAGATATCCAAGTTAATAAAAAAAAATTAAAGATTTTTAAAACTATCGCATGAAAGAATAATGCTCCTTTATGTAACACTTGTAACATCTTGATTTAAAGCCAAGAACTTAAAATGACAATCATCACTACCAAACAGGGAAGTATTTCCTGCAGATTTGACCTGCCGGAAAAACAGGCGGCGAAATTACGGAAAACTAATTTCCAGCGGTTTCTCGATTTTCCAGCAGATAATTGCCGCCGGAAATCCTCCATTTCCAAATTTTAATTTCTTTAGAAAATTTTGACTTAATTACCGGTTTGGTTAATCATGATTACCTTTTCGGCGGATATTTCCGCAGGTAATATTAAAATTTACATTTTTTAACGTAGAATGTGAGAAAGTATAAAAAAAAATCGGTGTTAAGGTTGTGAAAAACATGTTTCCTGGTAGTTAGGATACTTTTTCCCTCGTTGATCCGTCACTATCCCTCGCTGATCCGTCCGTGAAAGTTTCCCTCACTGATCCGTCGCTGAAAATTTCCCCCACTGATACTCTTCATTTTTGTAGTGTTTGATTACCGTCCTACACACACACACACACATATATATATATATATATATATATATATATATATATATATATATATATTTCGAAATTTCTGCAATTTTGTTATTCCATTTGTTGATTCTAAAAAATGTTGTTTACAAAATTCTGTGTTCTAATTCTAGATCTAACATGGTTAATGAAGTGTTCCTCAGTTTTTCATTTCTCTGTATCCCTCTCTCTCTATATACGTACATACATACATACATACATACATACATACATACATACATACATACATACATACATACATACATACATACATACATATATATATAGAAAGAGAGAGAGAGAGATTGTTTCAGATGCAACCCATTACATTTGTATAACCAATGCAACTCAATAAATTGAAATATTTATGGAAATGATGAAAGTTCATTTATTATGATTTAAATATTTTTGAAAGATGAATAAGGTTCATTAATTATGATCAATAMTTTATATTAGGAAACAATCAAAACTTTTATGAAATTACATATTCATCAAATTAAATGAACGATTAAGATTGAGTTGTATTGGTTGTACAAATGTAAATGGTTGTATATATATATATTGCCATTTAGGGAAAATATCATTGGTATATCTTCCCTTTCCATTTTGAGCAAGTTCAGCAACCATTGGAGTTCATCATGTTTTGTAAGTAACATTGTACTTCCATTTGATTTATACAATACAAAGTAACTCCCATTTATGTGGACGTACACTACGAAACCGAGAGTGGAAAACATTTACGTGATTTATATAATTTCAGTATATCATTTCATCGATACAACTTGTTATTCTTTGGCATTGTGTTGAGTATGATTGTCATGGATTGTTTGGAAGTTCGTTCAAAACATTTGTGATGAGTAACACAAATAGATCGTGAATTCGGTTGTTTAGATACACTACTTGACGGGGTAATTTGGAATATTCCTTAACACAATAGACACTGGAAAAAATTAGTTATCAATGTATATCCCGTATATATTTACATATAATTTTGAAAGATATCGACTTATATCCCTGAAAAGAGGTGCTAAAGAATGAAGTCTACAATATATCATGAAGCTTGCAATAGCGTTGTGAGCTCGAAAAATGCATTTTCTTGGCATGAAATGGTTAGGCCCCCCATCGGATGATCAAACCCAAATTCTTCCTCTGATTGACGCAACAATTCTTGGAATAACGGTTGTTCTAAGTAAGATATTGGGACGACAAACCGTCTCTTCTTGTTTTCTCCAACATACACTGCCAGATGACCTTTCGGCACATCCCTTTGATGATAGTTTCTGTTGCGATTAGCGTCCAGTCTGCTAAAACTTTTGACATTAGAAATCAACGAAGAGCGCAACCGCATAAGGTGTATAGGGTATATATATATATATATAGAGAGAGAGAGAGAGAGAGAGAAAGAGAGGAAGTATGTATATGTTCTTGAAGGGATAGTATTTATAGCTTGCTTAATTGGCAACATGGATGGAGTGATGGAGCTTCACATGGCTTCCTCATCAACACATGGTTTCCAAGAATGTACTATAATAATTTTAAGCATATACAAATATACACATATATATATATATATATATATATATATGCAACGCGTATAAGTCGGATATAGAATCAATTATTAGATCAATTATTACGTATAACGGATCTAGCAAACGAATTAAGTATTTGTTCACATGTACTTTCTCTGTATGAAAAAACGTTCTGTACACATTTCTCTGTTTGAACGTTGATTATATATAGTTACAAGTGGTATGTATAAACATTAACTAAAAACCATTTTTCTTTTTGCATATTATGATTTTGGGAAATACTGAATATGTATGGTTCAATTGATCACAATGTGAGGCGTTAAAAAACAACCGTTTTATCATTTGAGATAAAAAAACTAGTTTGTATGTATGTAATTGCTCCTAGACCTCTTGGAAAAGAATCATACGTACGAAAAATTTATTAAATACTTAACTGGTTTAAACAGTTATACAAAAAAGTTATTTTTTTTATTGACCTGAATATCCAACCAGCTATGCGAGCTGACTAATATCAGGGTGACTACTTGGAGTCATTGCATTTGAACCTCTGTGGCTACAAGAGTATTTTTATTTCTCTTTGGATTTGAACCTGAAACCTCCATGCACTTTTGACATTTGAAGCCCAAAGTCAAACTAATCAGACACTATTCTTGTGGTTAAAATATAACTGGTTATGTTTTATTCACTGAGTCCCTTTTTCATTAATAAAGTTTGTTATAGATCTTTAAATACATTCACTAAAAAATAAAAAAATAAAAAAATAAAAAAATAAATAAAATACATTGCCTTTTTATGCAACTTGTTATTATTTAAAAGTAATAGAAAGTTGACTTTTTTTTTTCAAAAGCTAGGGAGAATGGTATGATGCTCCATTAAAGAAGGAAATACATTTTTTTTATTAATTAACGTGGATATCCAATCCATTATGCAAGCCAACTAATCCTAAAACAATCACTTGTTTTGTGGTAACCTATAGTCATTGTATTTGAACTTTCGTGACTACAGAGGAAATTTTTATTCCTCATTCAATTTGAACCTGAGATCCACATACACTTTTGACCTTTGAAGCCCAAGTTTAAAACAATCAGATGCTATCCTTGTAATTAAAGAAAATATTTTTAATGTCTAAATAATCAAATGGTCAGAGTGAATACTATAAACTCCAGAAGATCACATGCCGATATAAAGAATGGCTATATTCATTGCCAGGAACGTTTTTTGAGGTGCATTATTGATATAATTTTCAATCAACCACTTTGACTTTCTTTGCATTAATATCCAAGAAATCTGAAAGATATCTATATATATATATATATATATATATATATATATATATATAAGGGTGAGTTATTATACAACCATTTATATTTGTACAACCAATACAACCTAATCTCAATCGTCCATTTAATTTGATGAATATGTGATTTCATATAAGTTTTGATTGTTTTCTAATATAAAATATTGATCATAATTAATGATTCTTATTCATCTTCCATAAATATTCAAATCATAATAAATGAACTCCCTTCATTTCTATAAATATCTCAATTAAGTGGGTTACATTGGTTGTACAAATGAACATGGTTGCATTTGAAATATACCCTATATATATATATATATATATATATATGGTTGGGTTCACGTGAGAACAAAAGTTTTTCATGAGACCAATTGGACCAATTTATGTTCATTGATCAACTTTATAAGTTAATAATATAATGGTCTAAAGTTGCACGGTGACAATTTTGTGATTATTGAAAAGTTTCGTGGCAATTTTATGATTATGAATGTTTAGATTGTAGATCTAATCAAATGGTTGAAAATTGGTCTTACGGGTCTCACGAAAAACCCTTGGTCTCACATGATCCCAAGTCTGTATATATATAGAGTATGTTTCAAAAGCAACCCATCACATTTGTACATCCAATGCAAACCAATATATTGAAATATTTATGGAAATGATTAGAGTTCATTTATTATGATTTAAATATATATAGAAGATGAATAAAGTTCATTAATTATGATTAATACTTTATATTAGGAAATAATCAAAACTTCTATAAAATTACATATTAATCAAATTAAATGAACGGTTGAGATTGAGTTGTATTGGTTGTACATGTAAATTGTTGTACAAATATATATATATATATATATATATATATAAATATATATATATATATACATATATATATATATATATATTTATATGTGAGTTATTATGCAACCCTTTATATTTGTACAACCAATACAACTTAATTTCAACCGTCCATTTAATTTGATGAATATATGATTTCATAAAAGTTTTGATTGTTTATTAATATGGATTATTGATCATAATCAATGAACTCTATTAATCTTCCATAAATATTCAAATCATAATAAATAAACTCTCATCATTTTCATAAATATCTCAATTGATTACGTTGCTTTGGTTGTACAAATGGACAACGTTGCATTTGAAATATACCCTATATATATTATGTTTTTCATTAATGATGGTGTAAATTATTATAGCATGTTGATGAAGTCAACTTCTGATACTGCTAAAAAACATGAACCAAAAACAGACCCGTTTCCCAGTTTTCGAGCAATTATTTCGACACATCATTTGGTAGATGTTTGCAGCATATGAATGAGTTTATCCATATTCACCATGGATGAACCGTACGGAAAGGCACAAGCTTCCTCAGCCTTGTTCTTCCAATCAATGGCATTCTTCCTCATCTCTTTCCCCTTTTCTCCATTCATCAACTCGATCACTACTTTCGCAACTTCATCGCTCTTTACATCGTTGTCGATCTCCATGGCAACCCCCCATTTGTTGCAACACAACCAACAATTCGTCTGTTGGTCTCCACAAAACGGCCAACATATCATCGGGACTCCACTGGAAATACTTTCGATCGTCGAATTCCATCCACTATGTGTTAAATACCCTCCTATTGATCGGTGTTTTAGAACTTGCTCTTGGGGGCACCAACTAGCCAACAGCCCTTTGCTCTTTGTCTCCGCCAAAAGGTCCGGTGGAAGCATAGTGGACTCGCCGACCACGAGGTCGGGTCTTATGATCCATAAGAACGAATAACCACTCTTCACAAGCCCCCAACAAAACTCGACTTGCTGTTGAGGTGTCATCACCGCAATACTACCAAAATTCACGTAAATAACTGACATTGGTGCTTTAGAGTCTAGCCATTTTAAACATTCCGTGTCTTCTTTCCAAAGGTTCGATTTGATGGATGCTAACGAGCCATGAACGATTTCCTTCTCGAGTAAATTCAAAGGGCCAATTCCGTAGCTAGGAGGAAATATTGAAGAAACCGTGTCCATAATGTCGGATTCTAGCTCGTCGTAAGTGTTCAAAACGATGGTTGAAGCTGTTTTCATTCTCTCTACTTGTCGACAAAGAAATTCAACCATGTATTCATCGCCGGCGTTGGTAATTCTGATGTACGGAGGGATATCTTTTAGACGTATAGCGGACATGGACGGTATACAGTCGTAGATCGTATCCAAATACCCGTTTACTAAAAAACTCGAATCTGTAAATTAAAAAATAGGAGATAAAATTAGCTTCAACTTAAAATCATGATGTATATTATTTAAACTACTGAATTATAAAGAACATAAGTATACCAAACACACATATGTATGTACACTGTAACAAAATTGGGTTTATAAGACACCCTTAATCTTTAAGCGTTCCAATAGACCGCTTTATAAGACTTAACTTATAGGACCAAAATATAAAACGTTCTAAGGTGTTGTAATAAGTTTATGACACTTTTGAACGTCTTAACAAGTTTTTTTAGGATATTTTTAATACAAAATGTCGCATTAGCAACTTTATAGGACACTTATGAGAAAGTGTCCTATAAACTCAATTTTTTATAGGACATTTTTTCAAATAGTGTCCTATAAAATTGTATAGTGTCTTATAAAATTGTTAATGAGACGCTTTATATTAAAAGTGTCCTAAAAAACTTATTATGACATCAAAAAACGTCATATAAACTTATTACAACGTTTTTAGATAGGACACTTTATTTTTTTGTTCCTATAAACTAAGTCCTATAAAGAGGTCTATTAGGACGCTTAAAAATTGAGAGTGTCCTATAAACCCGATTTTGTTGTAGTGGCAAGGGCTAACCCATTAAGCCTCTTTAACTTCTTTTAAGTAGAATTTCTTTTGGGGTATGAAAGGTACAACCGAGTAAACTATGAAAGGTGTTATGGGATATTAGAATTACAAGGAAACATCAACAAAAACCTGAAAAATATCTCGAAATCAACCAAAAAACAAAAAAGTCTCTCGAAATCAACCAAAAACTCGAAAAGTCTCACAAAATCAACAAAAAAAAACTTTAAATAATCCATCAAAATGGTGGAGTTCGGGCTGAAAACACATCGGGACGACTTTACAAGGCTTTGATCCACCTTCGTTGTACCTTTCTGGAAGTGATGACAAGTTGTACCATTCTAGTTTTCCTGGTTCCGCAGGTGTATGTATGTAGGGATTGTGTAGAATGTTGTGTGTATATATATATATATATATATATATATGAGTTGCAGAAAAAGTTGGTACCTGTAATGGGCATCAAACCCTTATCCAAAAGATTAGGATACTGCTCATAACATAATAAAGAACCAGCTCCACTTGTCCAGAAGAGCATTTCTGGGATATCCATTTCTTTAGCGGCTTCAAGGGTGAACCCCATAATAACGTCGGCCACTACGTAAGTCACCGGTGAATCAGAACCACTCATGAGCTTCGTGAGAAGACTTCTAAACGGACCCAAAAAGTTCTCATCAATGGCCTTGCACAGGGCTGCCACCTGTTGGCTGGCATCGAGATTTTCAGGTATCGGAAGGCCATCGGGAATGGTCTCGAAGCAGAAGGACGGTAAGCCGCGTAAGACATCGGAGTCCTGAGATCTTACAAGACGTTGGTGGTTGAACTCGGTGTTGACGAAGGTTATATGGAAGCCTTTAGAATGAAGGATTTTGGCAAGTTTTAACATAGGGTTTATATGGCCTTGTGCTGGTGCTGGTACGCAGAGTACATGTGGCTTCTTGTGTTTAGAACCCATGGCGTCTTCTGTTCAGCTCTTGTTGTGTTTAGAACCCTGGCTGCTTCTGTTCAGCTCTTGTTGTGTTTAGAACCCTGGCTTCTTCTGTTCAGCTCTTGTTCTTAGCCTCTCACTTCTTCCTTCTCTCTCATGTATATCTTATCTCTCTTTCCTACAACCAATTAAGCACCACTTTTGACTAGCTTCTTTTGTCTGATTGTGAAAGTCAAACGAGCACATGGATTGGACCAAGATGCTGACTGTAATATATCCCAGCTAAGCAGAATAAGCATGCAGAAAACAAATAATTAATGGTTTGATCTTGGTTTTAAATGTCAAAGTATCATAAGGTTTTAGATTCAAATCTAAGAAGGAATAAAAATTCCCTTGTGACCATGAAGATTCAAATATGATAACTACGGACCATCTGCAAAGCAAGTGATCGTTATAAGATTAGTCGACTCGCATAGCGGGTTGGATATCCAGGTTCATAAAATAATAATAATAATAATAATAATCATAATAATAATAATAATAATTCCATACCTTATAGCGATCTCGTTTAGGATAAGGACGCAACTGCATGCAACCACTCGATCTTATTGTTATCACTTCTAGAAAGGTAGTCGAGAAATTTACATAAATAGTCATTTCAGTTTCACCTTTTTAGTCGTTTTAATAGCTTTTTTTTTCTTTCTTAAATAGTCAAAGTTTACACTTAAACTTTACACAAAAACTATCCTTCTACGTAAAGTTTTTTGTAAACTTTGATTATTTAAGGAAAAGAGTTTCTAAAGTAGCTAAAAAGTGAAATCAATTAACCACAAGGGTGGTGCCTGATTGATTTGAGTTTGACTTCAAAAGTAAAAAGTACCGGGAGGTCCGAGGTTCAAATCCAAAGAAGAATAAAAATTCCCTTGTGGACACGAAGGTTCAAATGCAGTGACTCCGGGCTATCTACAAAACAAGTGGTCGCCCTAGGATTAGTCGGTTCGCATAGCGGGTTGGATATCCAGGTTAATAAAAAAAAAGTGAAATCAATTTTGTAGTAAACTTCTCTTTATTTTACTATTATTATGTTCTCAATTCTAGAAAGGTACAACTAGTTACGTTTTTCGCAGTCATGGTTGTTAGGAGTAATCAATCATCGTATATATTATTGCTAATAAATTTTCAGAAAATGTAAAAATCTTGATACAAGTCTTTGAAATAAACATAAATCAACAATAACAAGGATACAATCCAAGAATCGTGCTTGTAATTTGCAGATTTTTCGTGAAATCGTTCCTGGTTGAGCTCTAAGAACATGCGGAAGCTACTTAATCTCTTATCAGATGTAGGGACCCAAAAGTCCATCGACCTGTAAATGTATATATGTATATAGGAGAGCCCACCATGAAACACCCCCCCACACACACACCAAGGTCGGAGTTTTTAAATGATTAATTTAATGCTCAAGGGTTGATATTTATTAAGTAGGTTAAGTTTCGTTGAGTCTCCTATATGGGACAAGGCTTTTCACATAAAAGCCAAGTTCCGACAAGCCACTCATAACTAGATGAGTTACGTTTTTCGCCCTCATGGTTTAAACTTTCTAAGTTCGAACGTGTACTTTGGAATTTATGATTTTTCATGCATGTGGTTTACAATTCATTATCGTTTTTGTTCTTATAATTCACAATTTATTCGGTGTTTTCGTTCTTGTGATACAATTTATTGTTGTTTTTATCCCTGATATTTAAAGGTAGGAAGCTACCTTAGGGACGAAAAATGCAAATGAATTACAAAAAACTGAAATTTTGAAAGCATAGAGACGAAAATCGTAGTTTTTAACAAACCGTAGACAAAAATACGTAATTTACTCAAATAATATTAAATTAGTTTAGTAAATTTTTATCCAAACACTCTTAACGACCATTATTTTTGTTTACCAACACTTTCAACTCGATCACTACTTTGTTTTTGTCATTAACGCTTCCGGTTCATTGATCATAATTTTCTATGGTTACTAACTCCTCCAAGTCATTCACTACAACAAAATCGGGTTTATAGGACACTCTCAAATTCTAAGTGTTCTAATAGACCTCTTTATAGGACCAAAAAAATAAAGTGTGCTATCTAAATGTGTTGTAATAAATTTATATGATGCTTTTGAGCGTTTTAACAAGTTTTTAGGACATTTTTAATACAAAGTGTCACATTAGCAACTTTATAGGACACTTTTGAGAAAGTGTCCTATAAACTCAATTTTTTATAAGACACTTGTTTTTATAGGACAAATTTTCAAATAGTGTCCTATAAAGTTGATAATGAGACACTTTATATTAAAAGTGTTCTAAAAAACTTATTACGACGTCAAAAAACGTCATATAAACTTATTACAACACTTTTAGATAGGACACTTTATTTTTTGGTCCTATAAACTAAGTCTTATAAAGAAGTCTATTAGGACACTTAGAATTTGAGAGTGTCCTATAAACCCGATTTTGTTGTAGTGATTACAATTCTCCAACCACTACGACTACTTAGTGACCGCTATTTTCTGGTTACTAACAAGGTTTTAAATGTCGTGAGACGTGGCGATGCCAAGTCTTAAGCCATGAGAGTCGTGGCTAGGCCACGATGTTTTTCAAAATATGACTTCAATAGCTTTAAGTTTGAAAAACTTCTGCTATTATAACTGATATGTTTAACAAAATCTTGTAGGCAGGCAACACGTATGAGTACATATCCACCTTCCTTACAAACTCCATATATAACGTGAATAGACGTCCAAGATTTTTCTTCCTTGTACGCTTCATATGGTAGCAAGCCCTGCAACATTAGTAACTATGTATACAAATATTTCCCGTCAATATCAACATAATCACAATGCGTCAAAGCAACCTTAAGATTCAAACAACATTTCTTTAATTTATCATCTTTCAATTTAACCAACTTTGATTCATCAAACAAGAACCCAAATATAGGCTCAAAATATTTCATCTGTTCAAATCTACTTCTTAACTGAGAAAATGTTATATGCACTAAAACTAGAAAGCTATTAGTGCATAAAAACCAAGAAACAACTTCATTACTTGTATTCACATGTGCATTCCATACAGATAAGATAAAGGTTACAGTGTTTCTCAATTTTTCATTCTTTTAGAGATTTCCTCCCTCTCTCTCTATATGTGTATATATAAAAATATCTCGCCAATATATATAGGAGCGATCAAATGAAAATCACCCTCATTTGTAAAAACCGTACAAACCACCCTCATACGTCGACTTCATTGTTTAATCTTATGAATTTTTTTCATGAAATTGTTTAATCTTGTAAAATTGTTTCATATAATACTTTTTTTTGATGAATTTGTTTCATATATGGTTATGAAATTGTTTCATATAATATTTAATGAAATTTTAATGAAACTGTTTCATGTATTTCTCTAAAATTAAAATAATGAAGATGATAATATCCATGATAAACACTCTCCATAATAAAAATGGTTAATCAACTTCTCATAATTACAAAAAATGAAGAAAATAAAAAATTATGATTGGTTGAATGAGGTTTTCACGGTTTTTACAAATTGAGTATATATATATATATATATATATATAGGGTTGTGTTCACATGAAACCAGACTGTTTTCGTGAGACCCGTAAGACCACATTTTTATACTTGAAACTTCACAGCAAAAACACTGTGAAGGTTTAAAAAAGTCGAATCTTCACAGCAAAAACACTGTGAAGGTTTAAAAAAAGTCGAACCTTCACAGCAAAAACACTGTGAAAGTTACCTTCACAGCATTTTGCTGTGAAGTTTCAAGTGTAAAAAGCTGGTTTCACGGGTCTCACGAAAAGAAGCTGGTCTCACTTGATCCCAAGTCTATATATATATCGCCAACTAGGAAAATATCATTAGCATAGCCTTTCCAATTTGAGTAAGAGCAACCATTGGCAGTGGCGGACGCGGAAAAAAATATTGTAGGGGGCACGAAATTAACCAACAAAATTAACCTAAAAAAATTAACCTACAAAATTAACCAACAAAATTAACCTAAAATTACATAACTTAAAACATTAACCAATTAGTCAATTACCACAAAATTAACCAATAAAATTAACCTAAAATACCTAACCTAAAGCATTTACCAATTACCAAAAATTAACCAACAAAATTAACCTAAAATACCTAACCTAAAGCATTTACCAATTACCACAAAATTAACTAACAAAATTAACCTAAAAATAAAATACCTAACCTAAAGCATTTACCAATTACCAACAAAATTAACCTAAAAAAAACCTAACCTAAAGGCTAAACTCTAAAGCATTTACTAATTACTAATAGAGTAATAGTGGCTCGCATGGCAGAAATTACAAATTAGAAAATAGAAATTACCTAGGTTAAGGACTTAAGGTTACGGAGGCGCACAGGCGCACAGCGGCCACATGCACAGCCGCGCACAGGCGGGAGGACGGGAGGCGGCAGGCGCAACGCAGTGGCGCACAGCCGCACAGGGCCACAGCCCACAGGCGGCAGCCGGCAGGCAGAGCAGAGGCCTGAGGCGTCGGCAGTCGGCAGGCAGAGCAGAGGCCTGAGGCAGGCGAGGCGAGGCGGCAGCACAGACGCACGGTGCAGGCGAGGCGACAGCACAGTCGCAGATGGCAGATTCGAAGAATCGAAGTCGCAGTCGCTAGGCCCTAGACGCCTCACGCCTCACGCCTAGACGCACGGTATTCAGGTATGTCTTCACAGGCTCACAGCTTCACTCTTCTTCACTCCCTTCGGCCTTCATTCACAATCACAATTCATAGATTCACAACTCGTTTCTTGGTCTTGGGCTCTTGGCTGAAGAGGGAGGGGCCTCCTACCTCATCTTGTTGGGGGCCCAATTACACCAAATCTCAAAATACAAGTAAAAAAAAAATTTGGGCTTTCATATAAGATTTTTGTTGGGGGCCCAGGACCCCAACCCCTCCTTACTGCGTCCGCCACTGACCATTGGAGTTCTCTTGTTGTGTAATAAGTAACACTAATTGTACTCCCATT